CCCCAAAACCCCAAAACCCCAAAACCCCAAAACCCCAGCTGGGCTAATTATTATTGTAACCTAGCTTAGTGTACAGAATAAATAAAGATGTCAAATCAGCAGGCTGGGGAGTTTAAGCTCTCCCTGTTTTCGAAATCCAGTAAAAAGTTTAGGATGAGTAGAAGTAGGAGTAGTAATAGAGCCAAGCAAAGGCAATTAATGGTCAGCTCTGAGAAGAGAATTGCGGAGAAGAAGTAAGAATGGTTTGGAGTGAAGGAATAGGGTGGCAAAGGGAATTTTCAGGGAAATTAGGGGCTGTAGAGGGATTTAGGTGACTTTTTGACCTAGGATTGTTTTTGAGGGTGTTTTAGAGGTGATAGGTTTGGTTTAGAGGGAGTAAGGCAAGCGGAGTTATGGGAGATAAGTAAATTGGGCGTTACGCCTTCTCAGAGGCTTAAAAGAATTCGTTTATCGAAGTCAAGATTTTCTTCAGGACAGACACCAAAGGTTGGCTCTCGTAAATTACCTGAGTAACTTGTAGGTGTATACTTAAAAAGAATGGCTGAAAATTATAAAAGTTTGACAGCTAGGAGGCCGGTGACACAAAGTCACAGTAGAAGACAAATTGAGAGAAATATGTCTGCTACTAAATCCAAAAAGAAGACAGATATTTCAACTGAGGAAGCAAGTGGATTCAAGGCTGCTTGGGGAGCCATATCTAATAATTTTGCAACTTCAAGAATAAGCTCTAGTCAAATGTAAGAAACAGCGTTATACATAGGGGATATCAAACTCAGAGAAATAAGAATGTTAACTTCTTTAGAACAAGGCTCAGAAAGTCTCCAAGAATGGATACCTCAGAGTACTTCAGGGATTTCTAAGCATCATTATAGACTTGCTAGCTCTACAGTTGAGGAAAATATGACTCTTAGTCCCAAATTTGAACATATTATGTCACGAAGTCGTATGGCAAAACCTCAAGTAGATAAGAAATATGCAATAATTGATAACTGTAAAGATCAGGTAGAAATAAAATATCAAATTTAGATAAAACTTTGAGCCTCAAAATTAAATGAAATAGTTCACTCTCCAAAAGTTGATATTCAAGAAGGAAGAATGAGGAAAATTAATATAGGGGCATTAAAAGCTGTATACTTTAGAATTCCATGCTATGGAAAGCAATCACCCTTAACGTTAAAAATAGTACAAGACAGATTAAAGCCAATTCCTGATATTTTGACAATGTAGGAACCATTTTTGCTTTACCAACTTATTGATTATTCTAGATACACATCATTCCATTGAGAATTTCCAGATGGGGAAGAGAATGATCTCCTCTTCAGTGAAGGGAAGAACAAGATATATGCTCCTAAAAATAGTAGAACCTTTAACATTGATTACTGCTATTTCTCTCTTCTATCAATGACTAAAGCTTCTTACTGCTGAGTTTACTATTTCAACAATACAAATCCAGTCTCTTTGGTCTGGGACAAGGACCTTGGATCTTACAAGACATCTGGAGGAAGCCAAGTAGATGTAAAATTATCCAGAAATGAGGAGAAATATTTCAGCATTAGTGAGCGCAATGATGCTTACATAAGACAATGCCTTGATTCGGAAGAAGGGTACCAAAAGTTTGAGGAGAAGACTAATAATATCTTCTATGATAGAGATGAGAGCTTTCAGAGAAGGAAAATCATCAATGAAAGGAAACAGTCTGAAGGTAAGGCTTATTTAAATAATTCAACAATCTGTTTCTTTCGTTTTGGATTCATAATTTTTAGTCAAGAAATATTACAAAGAGGTTATTCCCAAAGGAATGACAGTTCAGGAATTTAAGGTAAAAATTAATTAATCTCTAGTTAATCATGGCAAAGAAGCGCAAGGAAGAAAAAGACGAAAAGTTACGTAAAAGAATGATCTTTATTGCTAATAAATGGAACTACCTCCGTCAAGAGAGTTATAAAGCTGAGATTATACAGAAGAAGATCAAGATGCAAAGGAACTATGTTAAGACATGGGTTGGGTTTAAAACTCTCCACTATGGAATCAGAAAGATTCATAATGCATACATCGGGAAGAGATATGAAGTAATTAAAGCAGCCAGATCTATGGTAATTGCTAATAAAGTCTATTACATGTATCGTAAAAGAGAACTCTTGAGAGGAACTAATGTTACAATCAGAACTCACAATACTATCAGACATAGCTTAGTTTTCTCAAGTGAGGTTCTTGCCAGCAAATGTGAGTCGAGAGCTAAGCAAATTTTTACTTCTTTCATCAAGGATCTCAAATGAAAGAGGGCTTTATCTGTCTCTTTCATAGACTACTGGACTCAAATTCTTAAAGTTAGGCACAGATTTCTGCACATAATTAAAATGACTAGTCAAAGAATGGAATTTTTGATTGAGAAATGGGAAGAACAGAAGCAAGTACTGATTGAAGAATATGAGAAAGAGATCTTGAATAACAAGTCCAAGCATGCCAAGAAGATGAGGAAAAAGATTAAAGGCATTAGTGATGGCCTTAGGTACATTTGACTGAAGCTTTACCTAAACCAATGCCGCACTGAGCATAATATCGGTAAGACTCATAAGAGGATCAGCAATGGGAATATTAATTTAAACTATATAGCATTTTTTGAATGGAGAAAATAACCATAAGGAAGAAGCCAAAGAGCTAATCACAAAATATTCTGAGAAACTTAAGAAGAAAATTGAAGAAGAAGACAAGAAGGTTGAAGATAAGAATGAGCTCCACAATGAACTTCTTGGAGTGAATCTTAACAAAGACACCAATGATAGCTTATCTTCTCTAAATATTTCAGCCTCTGCGCCTACTTATTCGAAAAGTAAGTAAATTCATGTCATGAACTCTACAGAGAAACGGGCAAAGAAGACTGGAATGAAGCGGCTTCCAATCTTGGATAGGTAAATTCAAAAGATGAACAGAGCTTGATCTTATTGTGATTAATTAATGAATCACTAATTTATCATTCTAGACTCAAAATAATGGATGACCCAGAAGAGCATTTTGAAATAGGTATGACTCATTCAAACTTTAGATGATTTAAATATGATTGGAATTAAATCCAATGCAAAGCCAAGGAGGTTTAAATAAAAGAACAACAAAGCAAACAAAGTTAAAAATTGGAAAGAAGAGAGCTACTGCTCAAAATAAGATAAATTATTCAGATCCGAAAGATATAGATGTTGGAGATTTCTTCATGACGAATATGATCAGAAATATGAATGATAAGGCTAGCACTAAAGTTCCTCGAAAAAATCGAAAGACGTATTATAAATCGTAAGTCAGATCTTTCAAACTTTAGCAACAGAAATAACATGCCGAAGGTAAAAGAGATGTCTAAACTTAAGGTTGTTGAAGAAAATCACCATATATATAAGGAAGAGACCCTTCAGAATACAGGAACTGGGTATAAATTACCACCCAGATTTTTATGGGTGCCTTCTAATCATCTGATTCGGGTTGCTATTATCCGCACCTGCTTCATTAAAGACATAGGTAAGTGCTCTTAAGGATTTTTGTGTAGACAAACTTCTTGAAGATAATATGAAGTCCAAAATTGAAGTTACAGCTGAAGGAATTGAAGTAGTCAAGCCAACAATGGAAAACGTTATTAAGCACTTGTAAGTTCAATTCGTTACCATAGATGAGGGGTTTTGGGGTTTTGGGGTTTTGGGG